AGCTGTAATATCACTATCACTCTCCATTTACCTCAAAGCTCATTGTAGCATTGTAACTTCATTCAAAGTGAACAGAAACAGAATAAAAGTCACCAAAAGTGTCTCTGTTAGTGTTTCCAACAATCACCAACTCTGGTTTGGTGGAAATAAATCCTTAATTCACCGATGTATATGATAAAAACAGCAGTTTCAGTCGGAGCAGACCGGCTATGGAAACAAACCACAGAGAGGCTGCGATACAACACAGGCAGAGGGAGAGAGACACCATGTGACTCTGTGTCTGTATATAGAGAACAGCTGTTAGCTGATATATTGTTTAAATCTGGGTAATAATCATTCATTCACAGTCTCTGTAATATATGTAACACGCAGCTCTGTGTGTGTTTCAGGTGTTACCACTGATACTCATTAAGGTCAAACACAGTCAGGCTGCTGCTGTTTTGCATGTTGGCTCACTGGAAAGGCTCTGATACACTAAATGGAGCCATAATTAGTCAAATTAAAACCAAATTCAGTCTGAAAGTGATAAAACATGAATTAAAGGTTTATTTTACTTTTTCCCTGAAGTACTATTTCCTCAAGAGAATGACGCTGAAAACAGGAAACACAATCTCACTGGTGTCCTCTTTGTAGACTCAATACGAGGTTCAATTAATCACTTAAAATAAATATATTTTCACATTCCAGTAATGATCCCGTCTCTGCCAAACCTTCTGTGCTCTGGAAAAGACGGCGTTACTGTCGAGAAGTTACTCAGCTCTCTGGGGAAATTCAGTGTTTAATCTATTTGATTCCTTTCCTCCAAACAGTTTTGTCTCATTCTTTCCTTGGCCGCCGCAGCACTGTTGTTATAGAGAACGCCGTTAACTTAACTCAGCTCAAACTGATCTGACAAATAGCGAGCATGTGAGTCACAGATGAAGCTTCGCACCTTGGCGGCGCTCTGGGCCCCTTCGTTCCTCGACAGTTTGGGCTTAAATGGACGCAGTTATGTTTTTGATGAAGAGGGGAAAAAACCTGACAAAGTCCAAATCTTCCCTTTAAACTTTGCTTTTTTATGTCCTCACCTGCTCAGTTCCTGGCCGACTCCCAATAACGGGGCTGCTGTCACACACAGCCTCATAAAACTGAAAGTTAATCAACCATCACATTGCTTCGTTCAAAGTTGACGTTAGCTTTGACACTGTGGTTGTGGTTGTTAGACTTCAGCAAACTCCATTTCAGCAGCACAACAAGACACTTTTTATTTATTCCCAATATCTCCGAGTTTCTTTCTTTTACTCTCCAATTGTTTTCACTCTTTTTCTGCAACCACAATGCAAATGGATCTATTCTGTATCTGGATTACTTTTGCTTTTGACCCTTTAAATATATTTTGAAGCAAATACTTTTGTACTTTTAATTCCTTCTCCACTGTCACTGCTGCTCTTATAACTGAGCTGTATGGGGGAAACTCTGTTCCACTGTACACAAAGCTTCCTGTCACAAATTGATCTCGTCTCCTTGACTTTGTGCCTCATGTGCAAGCTGAAGTAAAGTTGATCCACCATCGAATTGTTAGAACATTTGTGGGATCCGCAGGAAGTACAAGATGCTACGTGAACAGGAACAGAGTGTGTGAAGACAAAGTGTTGAATGCCAATTTTAGCTAACATGTTTAGCCTTGGCAGCTAATTCTTGCAGCCATGCACCCACACAGCTTCCTGTGCGCTTTACTGCAGGGTGAAAAAACTAATTTAGATTTTCTAGGTTTGACTGCAGGATTAGTCACCGATTCTCTCGAAAAACTATCAGTATTTGCATGCACCTGTAAAACATGTAAAGCATGTAAAGCGACAGTTTGACTCATCAAAGCAGGAAAAGCACACGTGGAACTAATATCTTCAATGACACCTCTGTGTTTGATGAGTTAAAGAAAGATCTGTGAGTTCTCTCAAGCTTAAATTTACTAGATGTTAACTACTAAAATAATTAAAATGATAACATATTATCGCTGAATATCTTCCGCTTTGACCTGCAGCAAAGTTATAAAACAGTATTCAGTATCCTTGTGCCTTGATGTCAGCAGGGAAAGTCAAATACAATCTGATACGTTTTCTTTAATATCGCAGAAACAGCTGAGCTTTGATTTCGTATCTTTGTGAAAATTAAGTTAAATAACAGATTATCGTATTTATTTGGTGTTTTTATTTTATATGTGTAACTTTTAAATTTCAGGTTCAAGTTTGTGGTTAAAGTCTGGAGTCAGTTTTTAGTTCCCTTAATATTGAAGTTATTGTTCAGTACAAAGAGCCAACAGTGATTCTGCTCTGCTGCACAACACATTCAAAGTTCCTCAATTTATTTATGGCCCGTGACCAAAACTGTCATTTTAAAACTGTCGGTGTGAAGCCGTCATTTGAGCCTGTCGTTCTGTTATTTACTACACTTTTGACAGATTATAGTTTCAACTTTACTGATTTTGCATCTCAAAATGTCACTATTATTTATTATTCAGTGAACAAATACCAAGCCGTAGTTGTTTTCTTTGGCAGGAAGTGAAGTTCCTGTATTTGGTTCATGTGTTTTGGGTTATTTACAGCCGACTAACACTCTACTAAACCACCAAACTGCCACATCATATTAATGAGATTGACACTTGATGTGCCGCAGACGGTTTAGAGTTTGGTTTGGCTGAAAAAATGTGAAGAAAACTGTCAAACTGCCCTTTGAAAGATGCCTTGGCAGATATATTTGGAGGTTTAAGGGTTGGCTTAAAAAGGACCCTGAGGTGTAGAAATAAAGGGAACTAAAACACAAATCAATCAAATTACAGGTTAGAATAAGACTTTGTAGACTTTTGAGGAAAGAAACATCTACGTATCTCTCTCTGTTTCATTCTCACCGAGGTGGTGTGTGTCTGTTTGGGCGTGTGTGTGTTTAGTGTGAAGGCAGTTCTTTAATGAGGGTCACACGGTTTTAATTTGCAGGTTTTATGAGCTGATAAACACACAGGCACACTATATTTACTCTGCTACCAGCACTTTAAATATTTAATGAAGTAACATGAGCACATATAACAAACAGGATTAGATATTAATGACTCCGATCAAATTACTTTTCATCTCTTCTCTCTCTTCTTATGTCTTTCTTTCTCTTCTTTTTTCTCAACATAAGCAGTTTTATCCTCCTATTTAATGTTATTGATCATAAATTTAGTGATTATTAAACAGCAGTTTTGGCCCAACATCACCACCTGCAGGCCCACTGGTGGTATTACAGCAAGACAGGTTTTCACACTTCAGTTTTCTTGCCATCAGCGTTTGAGAAGATGAAAATTAAACTGATTAAAGTTTGATTTTATGATGTTCGGTTTAACATTTATTTAATTAAGTGATATAGGAGCCAGAGAAATCGCTTATATTAGAAATAAATCTGTTTGAATAACCTTTCAAACACATTTGAACAACAATATACACCAAAAGCTCCAGATTAACTAATAAATGGACCTTGTGGTGAGATTGTTGCTGCACATTTAAGTAATAAACTGATTTATTTGAACTATAAATTGTATATAAAGTCATACTTATCAAAAGCGTTTATTGCTGTTTCACTCTGATGTATTGAATCCAGTGTAACAGCAGGTAAAGATGCTGATGATTGGGAATTAACGGACGGGTTTTGAGAATATTATAATTTTATTGTCCTGCATAAACAAAAAAAAAAAAATACTTATGTTAAAACACTGCAAAGCAAGAATTGTGTCTCAGACTTTGAGTTTAAAGTTCTCTCTGCATATTCTCATGAATGTTTGAGGGTTCAAACTGAACAACATGAGAACAGTTTCTGCATCTTTACTCCGGTTTCTATTGTCTGTCCCTGTGTTGTTGCTAATGATTCATAAATTAAGTCCTGAAACCAAAACAAAATCCCAGACACCTTGGCAAGACGTCAAGGCAGGCTGAAGTGAAACCGGCAGGACCACACACACACACACACACACACACACACACACACACACTGAAGCCATCCGTCCGTTAATGAGAATCTGGCAGCACCAAAAACGAAGTTTTGGACAGAGTTGATCTCTGTTGGGTAACGGTTTACCCGAAGGTATTACTCATCAGGATTGAGACTCTTCAAGAAGGCAGACAGAAGAAAAACAAACCTCGCTGCAGGCAGCACTCACCGTTTACTCCCTAAGAGCCTAATATCATCAACCTGCTGTTGTTGCTACCAGCTGTGACTTATTGACCCAAGTATGTGCTACCATCAACATCTTCATTGCTTTTCTGGATCTGCAGCTTTCTTTATTCCCATCAGCCTCAGAGACTTACATCCACCAGCACTCGTTGTCTCATCGCTGTCCACTTCTACAGTCTCTATAAGGTTTATAACCACCAGACCGTCTTAGTGCCTTCAGCTTCAGTCACTTGTAGCCATCAGTACAGGGCTGTTTCCAGACGGGTGGCACTGACCAGCTGAAAGCTATCATATATCACAATAAAATAGAAGACCTAACGCATCCATTGGTACCAACCATGTTGTGCTAACATGTGGGGAGGTTTTTTGACCTCTGACCTCAAGATATCTGAATGAAAATGGGTTCTATCTATGGATACCCACAAGTCTCCTCCCTATAGACTGACCCACTTTATGCTAATCCCATGCAGTCGTTGGGCATAAACCATGCAGTCTTTTGCACGTGGTACAAATGTGTTATATTGTGTTTGGATATTTCTGCAGACTCCATATTTTCACATTAAAATCCTTAAAAAGTCATCTACTCCTTCTACCTCACCAAAGATCCCAGAATCTATAAATCAGTAAATTTATTTAATTTCTAAAGTTTTCCTCTCCTACTTCAGTGCAGGAGACATCTTGTGTGGATGGTGGTGGATCGTTTTATAACAAGTGCAGTAAACAGGTTTGACCACTAGATGAAGCAGTACAAAATCATTATGATGAAGCATCTTCATCACACTGAAGCTCTGAATCCACGCAAAAATAAAAAAACTGCATTGTGTCAAAAAGTGTAAACTTTATTATTACAAACTGTTAGTATGTAAAATGGCTCAAGAAGAGATTTTTATTAGTAAATGAATAAACAAAGACCTAAAACAGATATGACAAGATAGTAAAATCACTCTATTTCAACATACCTATAACAACAACAACAGTGTCTGTCTGTCTAAAAGCCTTTTTCACCCTCTATTTGATCCTTTCTTCCTATTTATTGAAAAACTTAGTTACTAGTTACAAAAATGCAGAGAAAACATCCCTGTGGGTTGAATTCAGGCTGGAAAATTACCACATAAACTCTCTTGGCCAAGTGTTTACACACAGACTATTCCTCCCAGCTGATTCATAACAGTGTGGTTTGTTAGTCAGAGTCCCTCGCTGTTATGAGCTTATGAACCAGGGTGGAAAATCACCAACTGCCTGGAGTTAAGGTGCTCCTAAATGTTTCCCGGTCAGTTGGTCAGTTGGACCTCCCAGACTCTGGTTTGACGTTTGTCTGCTGGAATAGCCACAGGAGGTGTAAAGCTTTTAACATATGATTCAGCACATGTGACGCATGTGAAGAGGTGATAACTGGATCTTCAAAGATTTCTGACAGAGAGCTGTGATTTTAATTATTTTAAAGCTGCACTGGTTTTATCTTCATGAGCTGAGAAGCCTTTTGGGGGAGAATCAGTCAGAAAGAGATTCCTCAAATGTTAAATTCTGCTCTCAGGATGTTTCTCTCTGGCGGGAGTCACAGACACACTGCTGCAACTACAACCAGAGTCAGAGGACTTTTTCTACCAGTTGTAGGTATTTTAAAATATTTCCTCTGTGGCAGATAGATTTGGGTTTGTGTTAGCCAGCAGTGAACGAGCCTCCAGGTGAATAAGGAAAAAACTCAGACACTGTGAGTGAGAGGGACATATTTTCTGATATTTTCTGATCTGAAGGTAATGATATCAGGCTGTCACGCTTCAGACGTGATTTCAAGATCTGCGGAGTCTTTTTTAAAGTGAATTAGTGATTAGTCACACTCATTAGCACAAATCCTACATCATAGTGGATGTATAATCCCTGATGATGAAGATGTGTAAAAATATAAATGTGTGACAAAAAACAGCAGGAAGCTGCAAACACTTCCTCCTTTCTAGTGCTTAAAATGCAGATTGTGTGTCTCACACTGACCCTCCAAACAGTCGTCTTCAATTTAGCAATTCGATTGCAAAGAAAAAAAGCCTAAAAACATAAAAACATTCATCGAAATCAGGTCGCAACAATCCCAAAAAAAGCCTTCAAAAGGCTCCTGGAGGGGCTGATATTCTCATTATTTTACAGCCCCCCCTGAAGGGGAGTCCTGATTCCTCTGTAGTTCGCACCCTGAAGCTTCCCCATCTGTCATCTGGAGTTTGATGAAGTGGTAGATGTTTCTGCTCCGAGGCAAGAAAAATAATCAGCTGGTTTAAAATCAATAGCACTGTCTGATCAATAAAAATCAGGTGATGTGTGCCCACATTTCAGCGAGGCAACTGCTAGTGATAGTTACATTAGTAAGAGATAATGTAGAATATTAACATTAGAAATTGGTTAGTGAGAAAATCTTGCATGAGAGTCACGATTCGTCACTGTCACTGAAATAAAATGACCGACTTTATGGTCTTGATTTTAAGGCGTGTAAGAAAATGTGTAATTTTTAGAGTTTAGATTATTTAAGATCTAAACATTGAAGGCAGCCTCGTCTTGCAGTACAACAATACGCAGTTCAAACTGCAAAGAGCTAATAGAAAAGGCCAAACATCAGGGATTTTAAGTCCGTATGATTGTTGGATAGAAAGTTACTAAAAATATCATAAAAACTTGTTTTGCACAAACTTCCTGCAGTTATTATGTTCACTGTTTGGGTTCATTGTACAGTTTATCAGCTGCTCTCTACTGTTATTGTTACACATTGAATATAATACAAATAAAAATACAGTCAGTTTACTCAGTGATAGAAGGGAAAAAGGCTGGGAACCACTGAGCTCACTGAGTTTCTCCAAACAAATCTAAATACAGACAGTTTCCTTTTCTATCTGCAGCACCAGGATAGTGTCCAAGTGTTTTACAAAGCCCACAGGGTCGATTTCTCATACTTTGAAAGCTAAATGTTGGCAGGTGTGGCCCAAACAGTTACGTCTTGATGCTATTTGGTGGCAGCGATGTGCAAAGTTGCTTCGCGCAGCTTTATGTGACTTCCAATTTTAAAAAAGCTCTTTAATCTTCAACACCACGACTGAAGTCTGTATCACAGGTTTATTCCTCCTCTTTGGCCTTCAGAGGTTCCCTGCTTTGGAGCGCCGTATCAGAGCCCACAGACTCGTCGTCACCATCGATGTCGTCATCGTCGTCCGTCTCGTTGGTGACGTACGAGCCTTTATGTCTGGACAGACACCACAGCAACAGCGCTGTAGTACAGATCAGCAGCAGCAGCAGTGCACCGACGATCCCTAGAAGGTGGAGTCACAGAAAGATCTGACACAATCACTGAAATTTACAATTCAACATTTTGTCTGTTTAGTCTGGAGTCTGCCTTGTTTTCAGTGTATACAACTAATTATATTTCTAAATTCTACTTGTGTCTGCCAATAATCTCTTCTAATCAAAATCACGATCTTTGAAAACCAGCCGGTCAAATCAGGCTCATAATCTGGGTTTAAATTCAACTTCTGCTTAAAGAGAGGACAAATACACTGTAGAAGACTTTTTAATAATAAACCGTTTTATTAGTCTATGTCATAGCTGTTCGCATCATCAGATATAATCAGGTAAAACATTCACTTCCTCACCTCCAATTAAGGCTGCAAAATCTCCACCGCCTGCGATGATGCCTGTAAAAACATTAATTAAATCAATTAAAAACACCATAAATTCACTTACTATCATCTTTACGTTAAACACCTTTAACCAGTCACATGAACAGAATGAAGAAGCATCATGGCTCTTCAGAAAGGGGTTGAAAGAAGCTGCTAATATTATATATATATATATATATATATATATATATATATATATGTATGTATGTATGTATGTATGTGTGTATGTGTGTGTGTGTGTGTGTGTGTGTGTGTGTGTATATGTATATATACACTGTATATACGGTGAAATTCGAAGTTTTCTTTGAACTTTAACTTTTCCCTTTAAATGTAGAGGAGTAAAAAGTATGAATGGTGCTCCTGAATAGTGGAAGCAGAAGGTTTGTCGGCCCTGAGCCCCCCTCCCGTAGAGCTACAGGCCCAACCATGCACGGTATTCAAACACCCTCGGTCTATTTTAAAGCCTCGGCGTGCAGAGACGAGCTGACAGAGGCTGGTTTTACACTTGAGGGCCAAACAGGGCTCAGCTGTGTTCACACAAGCTCCTCTATTTAGAGTTTAATTGTCATATGATATCCCACAAAACAACAACCGTCCTAGAGGGAATCTCTGTTTTTGTCTAATAGCAAGAAAACTGCCACCAAAGATCTGATCAGACCGATAACCAGACATTAAAAAAAGTGTTATCATGATCTAAGAAAATGAAATAAGAGCACAGTTTTGTTATCTTGAGACGCGATAATAATGAAGTTGACATCTGGAGATGATAAGACCCAAACCAAGTTGTTATCTGTGAATGAAAAAATATCCCTTTTGATGGACTCAAATTCTGGTAATTCAGTTCCAGTTAATTAAATAAAGCAGCAGCTAAATCAATTTATGATGGAGAAGAAAAAAAACAACAGCTAAATGTGGCTAACGTAGCAGAAATCAATAGCTACCTCAGCTCATATTATATCTATTATTACTATTATTATATATATATATTTGTTTTTCTTATACATACTAGTTAAACAGTAATCTAGTAGCTGTATTTTTCTTTAAGTACTGTATTGTTTGGGTTCTTTAATGATTTCTTGGGTAAAATAAGCAGCCTGAAAGACAATGAAAGCATTATAATCTGATTTACTGTACTGCACTTCATTCACTTCATTCCAATAAGTTGTTCAGATTTTTTTGACATAACTAAATACAGCCTTAGAGGTGATGTAGGAAAAGAAATGTATTCAAACATTTCATACACACAGAACAGTTAGTTAGGCCATCTCTGGCCCTCTCTGACCCTCTCTGCCCCTCTCGGCCCCTCTCTGCCCCTCTCCGGCCCTCTCTGGCCCCCTCTGCCCCCTCTCTGCCCCCCTCTGCCCCCCCTCTCTGGCCCCTCTCTGCCCCTCTCTGCCCCTCTCCTGCCCTCTCTGCCCCTCTCTGCCCCTCTCTGCCCCCTCTCTGGCCCTCTCCGGCCCTCTCTGGCCCTCTCCGGCCCTGCTGTGGAAACCGGGTCCGGCGTGCGTGTGTGTCAGCTCTTATCTCCACAGCGACAGACCCTGGAGGCGTCACACTCACTCCTTCCCATGCTCCTCTCTGACATCGGGCTGATAAGACACTCCCTGATAACAGCAGTGTTGGACACAGTATGTGGATGCTTTATTTAAGTAAAGGTACCAACATCATAATGTAAAAATAGTCCTCGTCCTACTTGAACGTTTTTTAATTAGGGATGAAAGCTGACCGACAATGCTACTAACTGCCTTTCTACCTGATTCCTGATCAGTTTTATGTGTGGGAAGAAAGAGAAGGCGTCAACACAACTGTTTTATTATCTCTGACCACAGTGTAGAAATAAGACTAGTACTCTTTAACCGCTGTTTAATTTGGAACCGGTTCTCATCCCTAATATTTGTCCAGTATTCGTTTTCATTTATGTTTAAGAACAACTCTGCTTACATTCCTGGAGTTTAAGACCACGCTGTGTAGAAATCAGCATTTTGCTTGTGTGTCCACCCTTACCCTGAAATGATCATTTTAAAAGATATTGCACTGTTGTCAGTTGTCTATAGTCCAATGGTTCCCAACCTAGGGGTTGGGCCCCTCCAAAGGGTCACAAGATAAATCTGAAGGGTCATGAGACGATTAATGGGAGAGGGAGGAAACAGAATAAAGTTCTGACACACGAATCTGTTTTCTGGAGTAAGGAGAGAGGTTTTCTTTCTGTCAGCTGCTTTTTCACCCAGATAATAAAGGAAAAAGTTAACATTTGGAAAGAGAAAAGCTACATCTAAAGATATGAACCCATCATGCATCATTTTAAAAGATCAGAACTTTATAATGAAAGCTGAAGTGAATCTTCATGAAACAGTTTTTCCTTCTGATTTGTTGAGTTTCAGTCAGTATAGTTTGTGGTTAATCTGAATCGTGACCCTCCAAACTATCCCAAAGGGACTTATTCAAATAGTCTCATTTTATATGTTTTCCTGGTGTCTTTATACTCTTCACTCTTTGTTGATTTGTTTTAAAGGACTTCTATAATAGATTCATGTACATATACGTACCCTTCGCCATTATCTTGGTCACAGTCTCAGTATGAGGAGGCGAGGTTCCTCCTAACGTCCCAGGAGCAGGGCTAAAAGTCGCCATTTCCATGATGATGTCAACCTGAGCAGAAACAAATGAATATGTTGAATATTTTTTAATATTTATCAAATATTCATAAAAATGAAGGAAGATCTGAGATGTTTTTCACAGAAATGAATTAAAACCAGTTCCTGCTTTAATAAACAACTGGCTCTATGTGATGTGAAGTTAACAGGAACTGGTTCCAGAGTAAACACCTGCACACCTGAGTCACACACATGCATTTGTTTCCACTCTGTTCACTGTTTGAAGTGAAAATATACATAACCACTGGTATCATCCTCTAGACATCCAAACTAACAAGCAGCTCCAGGTTTATGTTGATGCATGTTCTCTGTGAAGCATTAAAGGGACGTTTTTTTCTTGCAGAACTTAAATAATGGAGTCTTTTACAGGATTTCCCCTCCTGAATTATGAAGCGGAGGGAATGACTCCAAGATGGATCCGAAGTGTCAGTGTTTGTCTGCATAACAAGAGTCACGCTTCACAAAACTATCTCTGAGCTGCAGAGCATTAAGGTTATTTTTATCTGATTTCATTCCACCAGGCTCTGATACACACCATTACAACGGCTGTACTTCTACTGTCTCATCAAGACTGCAGCAGAACTCAGCTGTACACATAACTTCAAATAAGCAAGCACATCTACGCAGCAAAGTTACATTTAATGACTTTACCTGCACCGTTTTAGAGATTATGGGCTGATCACTTAAAAGAAAACCGAAGGTGCAACAGCTGTAACAGGCTGTCAGTTCCAACTGCAGCTTCTAAAATATCACAAAACATTTTAAAAATAAAACAACAAAAACTCACCAGTTCTGAGAATCTGCAAGCAGCTCTTCATTTACTAAGAACAAGAAGAAACACAACAAGGCATATGCTGGACAACACACACACACACACACGCACACACACACACACACAGATGGGTGTGGTGTCAGTCCCCAGGGTCGAGATCTGTTCCCCCTCCGGCCAATCGCGAGGCTGACTCCACCCCTCTGATGCTAAACAGCCTGCAGATGTCTGAAACTGTGCAGCTGACAACGCCTCTTACATCATCTGTTCACACACACACACACACACACACACACACACACACACACACACACACACACACACACACACACAGTGTCCAGAGAGTGTATGTATGTGTGTGTGTGTGTGTGTGTGTGTGTGTGTGTACACAGTTTAATCATTTCACCTCCAGCCTGTTAATTAATGAAGATCCTCGCTCTGCCATTATGTAGCATGTTGCAGGAGTTACTGCTTGTGCCTACGTTTCCCAGAATGCATCATAACAACCAGCGCAGAGTATCACAGAACATTGTTTTAATGTGTGGATGTTTTGTTCCCTGGCTGTGTTCAGGGGCTTTTCCCACACTGCTGCTGGACCCCAGGCTGCAGAGATATTCCAGTACATGTATACAATCTGCTAACTGCATGGAGTTAGCATAAAGTGGGCATGACTGTAAAGGGGAGACTCGTGGGGGCCCAATATACCCATTTTCATTCAGATGTCTCGAGGTCAGAGGTCAAGGGATCCTTTTGAAAATGGCCATGCCTGTTTTTACATTTCCAAAATATAGCTTAACTTAACATTCTGCACACGTTGTCTCGTTTCATCAGAAATCTACAGCGACCCTTTGTTCCTTCAGGCAACAGGTGTTAATTAAGTTCAGCTTAATGAGGTCTGTGGGGAATCACCTGCACTCGGCTCACACCTGAAGGTTACAAAATAATAATGACTGAGTTTATTGTCAGAAATTGGACTTAATACTGTGGGAAAATGCCTCAGACTCACTCTACAAGCTACTGCTGCGGCATAAGAGAGACGTTCTGGCTTTCTTGTTTCTCACTGAAAGTGAATGTAGAACCTCTGAGTACAATGGTTCCCAACCTGGGGGTCAGGACCCCCACTAGGGGTCGCCAAAGCTTCACAGAGGGTTGCTTCTAGATTCTGAACGGTGTAAGAAAAGTTAAGTTTATGCAGTAGGCCTGTATCTCAGCATGTTATTAAGTTGTGTGCTGTAAAGAAGACTAAATGAAAATATTATTTTTAAAGGTTTTATTATTATTTAAGATCTAAACTTTAAAGACCTGAACACAAACTATATTCACAGAGCTTCAGTGTGAGAAACAACCTCATCCTGTATTACTGAGCTCACTGTATCAGCTGGTAAATAGAATGTGAAATATCCATGAAATACTTGAGGGGTCTGTCTATTAAGGTTTAACCGTTACTTTAACCTTCAATAAAGAAGCATTTGTTTGTTATTGAAGAGGCATTTTTTCATCGTTAAAGTACTTGTCAGGTGACGTCTGTGGAATCGGTACCGCCACTATAAACAGCTGCTGCTTCATGGTTGAGGAACTTTCTATTAATATTTTTACAAACAAACAAAAAACAAGTTCATCGAGCGTGAAAGAGGATTCATGCTCTAAATCAAACGGTCTCAAACTGGGGCCAGGGAGGGGCCTCTTCAACATTTAACTACTATAAGAAAGTACAATAAATGCAAACATCAGTTGCATTTTTATATCATCAAACATCAAATAAAGGCCAAATCTCTTCTTATCAATTCTTGGACCTTTACCATTATTAAGTTTTTGTTGTAATTAAATAAGAAGGTTTAGTTTTTAACACGTGAGAAAGTCAAATCTCAGGCATCCTCAGTGAATCCTTTCATCGTCTGATCGCTCCCACAAAAACAAACTCAGAGACACACATTGATCGTTTATTTCATATCCAACATCCAAACTAACCAGTGCTCAACGTTTCAGAACACACATCACCAGACAAACTCTTCTGCTCCAGCTGATTTAAACCGATCACACGTTTCCTTTGCACGAAGAGTGAAACTAAAGAACTCTGCAGACGATAGCGGCTTCTAACTCCTAAAGTTTTATGATTATTTCAGCAGCCAGCTAGACATTCAGAATGTATTATGACTCAAATATTTGTTTCCTTGTTTACCAACTACCTAAATATGAAGTAGAAAAAGCTTCTAAACAACTTATCAGCCACTCTGACAGGCCCAGAGTTTTTATTTGACATTAAATCTCCAAATTATTGTTGTTTTTCTACCAAACTGGCAGCTAGAATAAACAAAAACTAGCCAATTCAACATGTTTAACTTGACTAAGTTAACAGTCTCTTTACATTTTTAACAGTTAAGTAGATTTCTCAAAAACTGTGGCTTGTAGATGAAGCCATTTTGAACTTTTACCAGCCAATCAAACCAGTTTTAACTGACGACCAACTTACAAGTCACTTCAAATATTTGATAGTCAGCTAGATTTAAAAAAAAGTGTCTGAAAAGTTGTTAAACTTCTAAATTGTCGCTTCTTGATTAGCTGAAACTCAAAAGCCATTTTAAAACTTTTACTAGCCAATTAAATGTTTTTTTTTTATTATTATGAGCATCTTTACTAGAATTCACTTTCAATAATTGATAGTCGACATGATGTTTGAAACCAGGCGCCTGTGAGTCGTTGGTTGCCTCCCGCAGTGGCTGCTGCTGGAGTTAATAAAAGTGTTTCACTGGCTTCTTAAAATAACACTCAAAATGATTGGTGACAAACTTACTGGCCACATCTGAAATACACCGGCCACAGAATTATTATTAAGTGTAGATGAACATTTTTTACAACTCAAAATCTCTCAAAGCTGTTTTTTTTTGTTGATATTTTAGTAGTGAAACTTTATCTAGCCGATGTTTCTAAAACTTACAAGGCCCTTTCAGTATTGGATGAGATGAACTTACCGGTCATTTTTACAACATTACTGGACCTTTAGACTTTGAACAGAAGAACCTTAAATTACTGATTGCCTATTTTAGGAACTTGGGAGCCAAAGCCGGACAGCTTACCTTATAGAAGGGCATTATGCTGAGGAAGCTATTTTCTGCAGACTTTTAGAGACTTTGTTCTAAATCTCAGAGCCATTTTAAGACGTTGTGGCTTCTAGATTAGCTACAGTTCACGAGCCATTTGGGAACTTTAACTAGCCGATGTTTTTAGGTGCTGTGCTATACCAGCCACAATCTTAACAACAGTTTAAAAAAGTACCTCCCAAATGATTAGTATGTGTGATGTAGGCAAACAACAACAAACTCTGTAGCCATTTTGAAGACTTTACAGTCCATGTGGGTATTCAGAATCAAATAGAGAAGAACAGGATCAGATTTTAAGTAACAACTAGAAACCACCAGCCAAACCTCACCAGTAGTGTTTTGGCTGCTGGCTGGAGTTGTTTTTTTCCCAGCATGCTCTGCTCTGAGGGCACCAACAGGTTGTGCGTTGCTAGGCTTCTTCTTCTTCCTCTTCTTCTTCTTTTATAATTTACTGTAGCTCCCCCTGTTCTGTCTCCCTGCCCTCGCCTCCTCCTCACTCGTCCTCGTGCTCGAAGAACTCGTGGCAACAGACGGTAACCACGGAGATGAATGTCATGAACTCCTGGAAGTCACACTCGGCGTCGCCGTCCGTGTCCAGGCTCTCCATCAGGCTGTCAAGTGTGGCCTGGTCTTTCACATGCTGCGGGGGGTTCACATCAGGTTGCACACAACCCGAGACAATGAATTTAATGTGCTTTAATGTGTAGAGCCAACGTGCTTTAATGTGTAGAGCTGGATTTAAATATTCTATAACTTCCAGAACAGAATAGTAAGACTTTATATTGTTTAGTAGCATACATATCAGCATTATTAATGCCTCATGGCCACTATTATCCATTATCCCCTCAATAACCTCCTTATTACTTCTTATTAATAGGTGTTTTATGCATTATCATCACATTGTGCGCTCTGGGCTTCGTCACTACATTACGTTTCATTATCTCAAAAATGTTTAAACTCTTTTTAAGCTTTTGTTTTACAGATTTTAGGAAAATTACATCAGAATATGTAAAAGTACCAATGTAGGCAGTGGCGGAGTTTAAAGGGTTAATAACACTTAATAATATGATCTATTTTTATGTAACAAAACACAGAACGTCAAGTGTGAAATGTCATTTATTACTTGTTTCAAAAGTAATATTACTTATTACTCCCTGCCAACAGTAATAAGTTACACTGCTAGTTATATTATGTTTACGCTGCTCCCCACAAAATGTATAATTGTTTCATTTCTCCCCAAAATGTAGACTTATAACGATTAAAATCCAGTTTTTTTGTTAAAATCAAAAATGAATCCAAGGATGTGATTGAATTGTTGATTTTTAAATGAGTTCCCTATTAATCATTTCTAACTAATATCTGTAATATTACATATTATTAGTAATTAGTTACACTACAAGTGGGGGAAGTCATATTATATATTTATATATCATTGTCTTAATGCTCAGCACAGGTTATAAAAACAGCTATGAAGCTACGTACTAATAATAAAATATAAGGCTCTTATTGAGCAAAGCATATTAATCCATGTCCAAAAACCTCTTACTTAATATCAATAAGCAGAAATTAGGAGGTTATTGAGGGAAAGCTTTATAATGACTAATAAAGATACTAATGAGCAGCTGGTTAATGCTGAATATGAGAGTCTGTTAATAACTGAAACACTTCACATTTATGGATCTAATTTGAACAACTTTAAATTCTGATCATCTGTTTTGAATGAAACAAACTACAGACATCAAATAAAGTTTGTGCAGTGAAACTTTTACAATCTTTGTGTATGAATTAAATAATAAAGTAAGTCAGAACTGTACTTAGAAGCATTATTAGAGTTCTTTACTTTAACAACTATCAACATCCCCAGAACAGCGATCAGTTTAACTAAACTCCACACTAAATGTACTTTACTCCACCATGTTTAATACTTCTAATGTGGGGTTAAATCTCTTGGTGTTTCTTGGTGTTTTCTGTCTTACCGCCATCAGATCCGGCAGCTCATCGTGAAGCAGATCCTTCAGCTCGCTCTTTTTCAGTTTGTGTTTGTCTCCTTCTCTTTCTGAGTACTTCTGAAACACCGCAAT